AGAAATCATTGATCAATTTACGATTTCATTGATGACAGGCTCATCTTTGGCAACACCGTCTAAGCCACATCACCTCCCGAATTTAACCAACAGCTGTACGTGCCTAATTAACCTACATTGCCTCCTGGCATTGCGTAGCAAAAAACTAAAGTGAGCTGCCCACAAAGAATGGAAGCTGACAGCGAGGGGTTTCAGAACGATTCTCGAGACACTTTTCTCATCACATCATTTCCAAGAATCAAGAACCGCAAGCGATACCTTCCCTACAACGAACTGAAGTAAAGCTCAGAACCCCACAAGAGACGAGGATTTGTCGAGGGCCACTAATCCCTCACAAACTAGAAAGACACCGGAAAAGAAAAATCTTGACGACGGAGCACCTAAAATAAGCTCAAATTCATCTCCCAAAGCCACATTTTCTTCAATCGACGCGCGAGAACAAGAACTCCAACGACACCCTCCACGCAACAAACTCCAATTCAAACTAACCGCAACTGCAGCCAAAAAGAAACGCGCCAGCTCATCGCACGAATCAAGAACTCTCGACCATCTCCATCGACAGAGCTACACGACCGCGAAAACTGGAGACGAAAGAAATCGCGCCGCGGGCCAAAATTTCCACCGGCGCCGAACTCGGGTGGCCGAAAAAAGAGAGGGACCTACCCAGCGGGTTACCGACCACGCATCGCCTCGCGTCAGCCATGGACCGCCGGCTCGGTCAAATCATCCAAAGAAAGGACCGGAGCTTTCGGTCTCCCGCGGCCTCCGGATCTGGGAACGGGGCTCGGAGCACCGAGGGGGCGTGCTGGGATCGAAAGAGACGAATTTGAAGGTGGGGGAGAGAGAAGAAGGTGAAGATGAGGATGAAGATGTAGAACAAGAACAAGAACAAGAACAAGAAGAAGAAGGAAGGAGATAGTTTTGCTTGCGAAGGTTTTTTCGGTGGGGGCTTCGATCTTGCGAGATGAGGGGGGGGGGGGCAAGAACGCCGCCGTTTCGGCAGTGAGAAAGCGACTGGGTCGACGCCGCCGCCGCCGCTGCTGCTGCTGCTGCTGCGAGCCTGCGGGCGAGCGAGCGAGCGAGTGGGGTTTCTTGAAAGTGGACGACGCTGGTCAATCCTCGTGACGTGAATACCGGGTACGGCCTGCACTAGTGCCTGCCTCCCCTCTTCTTGTGCTTTTTCCCATATTATTTTTTTTATAGTTATTTTTCTTTTTGGTCATGATATCTTTTTATAGTTATCTTTATAGTTATCTTTATAACGAAGAAAAAGTATGAAAGTTTGACACCTTTCTAGTACATGATAAATCCAAACTATATAAAAATAAAATAAAAAATCAGACCCCCCATTGGTCCCAAATTGAGACGTGTCATACCTGATTTTAGCGTGTATGGTTGCTACGGTAATTATTGAAAAACGTAACGGGGATAAGAGCCTTTGAAAAGTACGTTGCTTTCTGGTGAATTTTTATTGTTTCCGGTGAATCTGTAACGGAAAACAACGAACTAAGCTTTTGGAGCATCCTTGAAGAAGTTGTGACGAGGGAGAACGACTTTTAACATTTTCAATGCACGGTTTTGCAATTTAGAAATCATGTTGCCGGATTAAAAAAAAATCTAATGACGGATGGAAAACTTGCTGCAAACCAATGCGAGCAAGTAACCATATGTAGTGACTTTTTCAGAATAGTTAATATTTTTTTTGGCATATTGGAATAGCGTGTGCTTAGCAATTAGATATTTTTATATGCGACAAGTTACTTGCTATTAGGGGAGAAAAAAAAAGAATCCTTCAACCGATTTGTAGGATTTGAACTTTCCAATAACTAGGGATGAGCATGATCCGGATGGGCGATTCCAACCATGGAACCGGGAACCATCCACTAAGGTCCGGTTCCGAAAAATTGGAATCGGAAACCACCCGTTGGTTTCAAGGATCCACCCGAGAACTGGACCACTGGTCCGGTCCAGTTTTTGGTTGAGTCCATGGAATTCGTCCCACCAAATTTCATGCAAATGGAGGTGGCTGAGAACGAGAGAGGGAGGCAATGAACGCCCGTCGGCGCAACCACGAGTTGATGGGAATTGAGAGTCGAGGTCGTGAATCGATTGGCGACGAGCTTAAAAGTGGAGACCATAAATGTGAGATAGAGAGATGATTTAGACAATGTCAGAGTGAGACAACACGAGCACTTAGTTGATGGGCGTTGAGCTTTTGATTGTGGATTTTAGGGTTTTCATTTTTCTTAAAATATTTTCTTTTTTTGTTTCAAATTGTTTTAAAAAAATTATATGTATTATCGGTCCGGTCCAAGTGGACGTTTTACGCCTAGAACTGTGAACCAGACCGGTCCCCATATAAACTGCCCATTTTGGTTTGCTAGTTATTTCGCACATCCCTACCAATAACCAATAATATCTCAATATGCGCACTAGAGTTTAATATAGAAAAATTCCAAATGTCATGCAACCACTGAATTCATTCGTCAAATAAATTCTCATTTCTTGCTTGTTTCATAACTACTTGTTAGATCTAAATAAATCTAATAAATATCTATTTGCTAGATACTTATACTAAATTGAGGGGTGTATTTGTTTTGGAAAATTTATAGAGGAAAAGTACTTTCTCCATGGAAATCATTTTCAAGGAAAACGTTTTCCCATCTTCTAAATAAGGAGCCTATTCGTCCTTATCTTAAGCGTGGATATTTTCTTTGATCGTAGATCGGTTTTCCATCGACTGATCATCTTCAACAAATCAAATGCATGAGAATTCGGAAAAAAAACTCTTTCGCTCAAACAAACACGCCCCGAAACGAAAATCGGGCGCTTCCGGTTCCGCTGAATCGGGTCGAAACCGGGCTCGGATTGCTACAATCCGCAACCCACCAAAAACAGAGGAACAGGAAAAGGATCTCGTGACTCTCTTTTGCTTTTGTCTGTCTTGTCTCTCCAAAGCTTCACGTGCAGTTCATTTGGCCAAGATTCCGACAAGTATTCGTACGACGACGGAAAAAAGATTCATTCTTTATAATTCCTCGACCTGCCCTTGATGATCCATCCAAAATCTCCTCTTTTTTTGGCTTTGGTTTTTTGACCTTTATAATTTTGTCAATTCATTTGAGAATTTGATTTTCAAGCAACATGCCCGATATTTCTTTTTAATACCAAAATTCCTTCTTTTTACGACGGAGTTTATACACGCGAAGGTGCCGACACCCGAGGGTAACGGGACATCGCGCGGGGTCAAGGGCAAGGGTCTCGACGAGGGTGGTCGCGGTTGTGGTCGGGGGCAAGGCGGCGTGCTCCCCTGTCCGGCGACATGCTCTCTGTCTTCCCCCGCGTCTTTATTGGCCATTTTTTTCAATGTGTTGGGCATTGCCATGCTAGCAAATTGGCAAAATTAAAATTAAAATTAAATGATGTTAGGCTTGATTAAACAAAAATCTTATCCAAATTGTTTTTGTCTCGAGTAACGTATTTACCCTCTGTCACACGGCTCCTATAAAAAATCACATGTGGATCTGACGTGGTATTGTTAATGTTTTTTTAGGACAAGTAACATAGATGTGGCACCTGCTATTCCGGCTTCGCCGATGAGGGCCATCGACCTCGTAGGCCATCAGCAAGGTTAGGACCTTACACTGATTGTGAAGTTATTGTTCATTGTGTTCAAAGTTATTGTTAGTCTCTTTCAAGCTCACGATCGCTTAGCCAATGCTCCTCCAATACTGTCCGCCATTGCCCATTGCTGCATGGACCTCCGGAGGCGACCCTTGCTCGATCACCCGTGAGGTGGCCGTCACTTGCTCTCAAATATGAGATTTCATATTTGCGCAAGTGTATTGTATTAGAACGAGTGAGACAAAGAGGAGGGACGAGTCTCTTGAAGACAATGATCAGAATCTAGTTGCAACAAGCTTCGAAGCCAAAAATTTAGCCATCGCAGCCACCAGCTTTAAGGTCAAATCCGGCTTCTAAGCTCGTGGCCGCCATGGCCGCTCGAGCTCGAAGCTTGGCTTGAGGGTCCGCAACATGGAGGGAGAGGCTGGAGAGTTGAGAAGCGTCTTGAGCAATTGGAGGTGGTGGGGTTGCATATATTAGTGTAGAAGACAATCTCTGAGCTCAGCCCACGCTTTGAATTATTACTGCTCGAGCAGATGATGCAAAAAACGAAGCGTTTCTAATGTTGCTAATGCTACTACCCTCGCTGCTCGAGCTCGGCGACATCTAGGTCGCGACGGCCCTCATCGGCGAAGTCGGAACGACGGTGGCGACCCCGGCCATCCACAATCTCTCTCTCCTCTAATTTGATCTTTTGTTCGCTTTCATGTTTTTTTTTTTATCCTTCCTTGATGTGGTGGCACGACAGCACCGTTTGTCCTCGAAAAACATTAATAATCTCGTTTCGAAACCACATCAAATTTTTAACCGCAGTACCATGACGGAGAGTAAATGCATTACTCGATATACAAGTTTGAAATTAAAAATTTAAGATAAATACGTCACACGGCGGACTTATTTTTGGATTCGTAGTGACATTTTCCATATATATATAAAAATCAACCGTTAAAACTTAAAACGACAAAAAGAAAAAGAGAGGAGATAAATAAATCGGATAAAAAATTGCAAGGGGCAGTTTGGTCAGGAAAATGTCGCCGTCAAGAGGCGTCGCCGTCAGGTTGTTTTCCGGCGAAATCGCGCCACCGCTTCGGTTGAACCTCCTCCTCACATCCCCCTCTCTCTCTCTGTCTCTGTCTCTGTCTCTCTCTCTCTCTCTTTCTGGCGCAGCGCATTTGCTTTCAATGGCGGTCAATCATCACGAGCAGGTGAAGTCGCGCTTCGCCTCTCCACCCCTCTTGCCTCGCACCACATTGTCTGTATTTCGCAGCATTGCATTCGGTTCGCCGCCGGATCTTGGTCGAGCGATTCGACGGTTCTTTTTCTTGGGAATTTCCGCTCGTTCTGTGCGTACCCTTTGAAGTTGTGATGATATACAGCGTTGGGTGTTGAGAGAATTTGAAAAAAGGCCCGAACTTTGTCGTTGTTTTGGTCAAATTTGAAGTCTTGATGTTTGTGCGAGAGGCTTGAGGAGGGGTGCGCGTGCTTGACTGAGCTCGAAAATGGGATGATGCAAAGTGGAAATTTTGGCGGAGAAAATTTGTTGCCAACTCCTCCTCCCCCCTCTCCTTGCTGTGCGCTGGTGATCTCTGATGTGTTCCTCCCAGTACATATGTCTAGCTACTGTAGCGAGTGCCGGTTATTTGGTCCGTGTGTTAAGCGCCGCGCCCGCATCCTGACAGGAGAGTTTTTCGACAGGAAAGAGCGTGCTTCCCGGTGGTTGCGGATGCAAGCGACGATCTTCCCATCGGCTGTCAGTGCTTCCACGCGCTAGATTCGATTATCGAGGAAGACAGCCAACGCTGTCAGCTGGGTAATTTAGCTTCAGTCACATCGTGTAAGATGTTAGAACAAATGTTCCCGGTGTTGAGCTCTCATTACGCTTCTTCGGACTTCGGTTCAGGTTTATACCCAGTCTTCCTTGACGAGGGTTCGCTTCCGATGAAATTAAACTGCCCATTTCACCATTCACAAGCACCGGTAAGTAACGATGAGGGTCTATTTTTCTTGAGGATCGCATAAACGAGCACTTTCATTCTCTCTTTAGTCAGTATCTGTTTGGACATGAACTTTAGCCTTTGCAGATTAGCTCTGCCGATTGGCATCCCGTCTATTTGAGCTTGCTCTGTGATCTGATAATGAGATTGGTAAAACATGTTGGTGCAGGACGATGATGTCTATAGCATTTCCCTGTTGCCTGATGAAGACGATATGAGCGCACAATGTGGATCAAAGCTAGCAGTCCTTAGCTTACTAGAAGTTCAAGATCCATGTGAAGACCAGATATGCTTTGATGCCCACGCAAGTTGTGAAGAATGCATTGACTTTCAAAAGGAAAGCTTAGAAGCTTATTCGCAGTGTGTCATAGATATAGATATCAAGAAGGAAACTGTGGAAGAATCTAAACCCCACATGGAATCTCATGGGAACAAAAACAGCGATAGTTTACTTGCTGTAAGTGCGGCTCTATCATATTTTACTTACAGATGAGCAAGGTACTGCATAAAAAACCAGAATTCAAAATCTTTTGTTACTTGTTTTGTCTGTGATTAGATCCTTCGTTTTGTATGACGTTTGATATTGAGGTCGTTTTTTGCAGAATGTTTTATAAACTCTTCATCTCAAAGCTGGTGTGAAAATCGTTTTTTAAGTTACTTCCTCTGTAGCATGGCATAACAACTTTTTTGATAATAATTTTGACATTCACTGTTGCTTATATCGGATTTTCACCACTCACAGAACACTCCAAGGGTCTTGCAGAGACAAGTAAGCTTAAAGACAGGCGAAAAGTTAGCTCAACTGCTAATGGATCACAGTGCAATGTTTGTGAAGCTCCCTAATAAAGGTATGAGCTTGAAGACACTTTGACACTATCTTTGTTCTAGTGTTTTCTGGTAATCATTTAATTGGATATTTTGATGCTACTTGTAGCAACAAATTTAGTAGGTGTTTGGTGTGGCTGTTCCTCTTAGCATATTGACTTTTTCTTTCACTAGAATCTGAAATGACTTTTATTTAATGTCGAGTGCCATAAATCTTTGAAAACATTTGGGGACATGTCTGGATCCAACTTACATTTCTACTTTTAGATAAATCTTTATCTTGTGGCCAAACACACTTTGCCTTTTTTCACCATTTAAACCTGTCAAATGGACTTATGGCTCTATGTGTGTGAACTCAGGACTAATCTAAACCTTGACTCTTTGTGCATCTCTCCAACTTCTTGTACACAGAAAATATAACATTCTGGTTGAAGATGTTAGCGCACAATCTTGCTGAAGTAGTTATCAGATCTCTTAACGAATCCATGTTTCAAAGAATTTTACTTGGCAAAGAATTTGCAAAGTATAAAATAAATGAGCTCTTTGTAAGTATCAATTTAGAACTCATCCATTAAATTTACAGATAGGTGCTCACCTCATACCAATCCAGCATAGCAACATTCTGCCTGTCTATCTTTTACATGATAATTTGCTCATCCAACAGACTCAACTTGCATTTGGAGGTGTATATTTCATCAATGCAAAACAAGTTCTCTTCGATCACTTTGAGCTTTTCGACCAAAAAACAAAAAACAATTTGGGCTTTTGCAGATACCTGCATTTCATCGTTTCTCTCTTCTAATGCGTTTACCTTGCTGGTCTTAAAGTCTGTATCATATTTCCTACAGTGCTATTGCTAAGCTTGGAAGTTTGTCCTATGCCGTTTCTTTGATGTTACAGAAAAGCCAGTTGTAGAAAAATTTCACGATTCATCAAACAACAGATGGAGGAGGTACAAGCGTGCTGCCTCATTTGATTCCAGGAAAATTGTCTTCCTCTTCTCCATCCTGTAAGCCTTAATATTGCAGCTGAAGACAGCCTCACTAATTGTTCAAGTTTCTGCAGTCGTTTCTGCTGCAGAACCTATCCCAAGCTTTTTATTCTTCACAGTAAGAGCATGCTCCATGTCCAGCATTAAGGACACTTGTTATGCATACTTAGGTGAAAAAACATAATAAGGAAATTTTTTATTTCCAAAGATGACATATCTCGAGAAATGTCACCGCATTTTAGGGCACATTTTTTTATTTATGCTTAACCCCTAAAAGGGCCCTTTAACAAAAACTATGTAGTTTTCACCAGTAATGGGATAGCAATTCTATAATGTTCCCATTATCCGCTGAATTTGCCGTGTACTAAATGATCTGTTGCCGAGTCATAGGAGGAGCCATCGATATTCTACATCTCTGCATTATAATATTACTTATACTGCGCCAGGTTTCTCAGCCTAAACAGAATTATTTCTCATCAAAATGGGATAGTAAACCTCAATTGATTGACTAAAGTTGTGTGAGCGTCAATGGAGGACCAAGACAAACAGTACATTGGCAATGCAGAATATCATTACGTAAACGATGAACATAGATGAAAGCGATTTATCTACTCTTGCCCATTTAGTAGATCTGTCTGTATGACCATAGTAATCTCCTGTTGTTGCGGTTGCAGGTCAAGCTTTGGGACATTGGTACTCATTTATCTAACCCTCAGAGTTAGGCAGAATAGTACTGGGTTCGAGCACAGCTTGTGACAGCTTGATGCTATTCTATTTTGTTTAGAATTGGCTGTTGTAGATCTTTCTTTCCTGTTTCTTTCTAGTGTGAGTGTCAGTAGGCTTGTATGTAAATAGACGAATCTGCTCAACTGCTTTGGACTTGGATTGCTTGGTAAAGCTTACTGTGATTAAATGTCGGCGAAAGCTATATCATATCATGCTTATGCTCTTTCAGAAATGAACTTCATAAGGATCATTCGACCTGGTCATATTAAACTTCATGTTCATTTCAATAGGAAAAAAGGCACACTTTTGGAAGCCATTAACCGGTACCGTTTCGTCATTGTCCTGCCTATACGCCCATCATTCTCAATTGGCCTGCAGAAACTACTGTGGCCATTGACCTGAAGTGAATAATGCCCTCTCAGAATGATTATCACTTGGCATGCATTCACAGCCCACTTGGGCATGGAAATGCACATTACCATTTTGGCATGTTGACAGAGTTGAGAAAATCAGACAGTTTTAGACAGTGTAGCAACTTCACTGCTTAGTGGTGAAATGATGTCCAAGAAATTTTTTCGTTCTCCAAGAGATGACAAACCATTAGTGAGCACTATGAAGTTGTTGTAAGACATTGTTTATGTCTGGCCAAAGAAGAGGGCATAGATTATGACTATCGACTATAGGTTGTCGATGGGGATCCGCATTCGAATTGTGGATAAGTCGAAGCAGTGGGATGGATGGTTGCTCGGCCACCCATTGATTGAGGATTTGGAGCAGTTGAGGCCTTTGCTTTTATAGTAGACAGTAAGATTTTTGTAAAAAGAAGAAGACATTCATGGGAAAGAAAAGAAGTAACAAGAGATAGAAAAAACATTGCATTTTCAGGTTTTCCAGCAGACAGAGGAAGGATTTTCTGAGATTACGATTGGAGAATTTAATGATTCAGCTGTAATTCACAGAACAAAAAATGAGATCGCACTCCATCTGACTAAAGCTCCCTTTTACAAGCATAGCAAAGCAAGATTTGCCATTGCCTATTCAATTTCACATGCTGTCTAGATCGCTTTCATCATGGACCAAGTAAGGTGGGAAAGAACATAAAAACAGTGACATAAAAAATTGAAATGAAAAAGGAAAAAAAGAAGAAGAAAACCTGTGAACTGCCTTCTAGTAAGAACAAAAGTGCACTTAGCAAGGGCAACCTCCTCCTTGATTCTCATTCTGGGAAGAATTCACGGTGGGCTTCAGATTTACATCAACCATGTCTTCCTGCTTTGTAGAGTTAAGTGTCTCCATCCCTGGCAAGGCTGCGGCAATCTTTCGGAATAGAGGCTGCAGTTTCCAAAATGAGAAGCCCATTTAAGCAAAGAGAACAGAGACACACCGCTGTCATTACATGTATAAACAGGTGGAAACTGAGGATAACATAGGTACACAATTGCACCATATAAATGAGCATGCAGGTTCAAGAAAGAAGTTGACAGTTGAAACTCCGGCTTTCCGAGGTCGATAAAATCCATTGAAATAGAAGAAAATCCTCGACAAATCATTCTTTGAGAAGTTCTTCAGCTGAATTAATAACCAAAAAAGATCAGAAATGCAATTTTGCAACCTTAATATTAAATCCTGCTTTTGCACTGGTTTCAATGAACATAACTCCAAACTCGCGGGATTTGGCATCTCCGTCCTCGATCGAGACTTGCCTGTGATATTTCCATCACAGATCATTAGATATAGTATATTATTTACCATTCTAAGTACACCGCCAAACGCTTCATTGTTTAGTGAACTCTAATCATTGCTCCTCATACAGACAATAAAATCCTCTAGAAAAGTAATCAGATAGGATCGTCTCAATTTGCTGCAGAATACAATTCAAACCAAGAGAAGATCCATACTTGAATTTGACCATGAATCTAAATCTCAACCAAAATTTCAAACGTAAACCAGTATAGTCTTTTGAAGAATAGTACATTACAAATTCTTATAAACTAGAAGGGACGTTCTTTGCCAATTGTCATGTTCATGATAACTTGGCCAGCAAATCAACTTTAGCAAGAAAAGTTTCATATTTCTTGCAGGAAATGAACGTTCTATCATCATCTTAGTTGGAAAAGGGCATTGAAGAAACATAAACAATCTCATTAGGGAAATGTTGGAACCACATGGCACTAATCAGGACAGATCTCCAACCAGAACCAACTAGCATCTCTAATAATTCCTTCCACTAATTTTAAGATTAAACAGAGACAAGAATATGCTACACACAAGTTTGAAGAGATTCAATGTTATTACGTATCCTACCTCTTATCAACAAGATCAGTTTTGTTCCCAACAAGGACGATGATTACGTCGCTCCCTCTTTCAGTCCGAACTTCCTCAATCCACTTGGAAGTGTTCAGAAAGGATTGCCTATCTGGAACATTACACTACAGTAAGGTCCTTACCAAACATTCAGTTGATGATATAACTCACTAATTTGAGCAAAATAATTGTCAAAAAGATTTCCTGGATTCAAATCAATGCAAAAACAATTCCAGAACTAGATATAAACAGATAAACACAAACTCCAGTCCACATTATTATTAATACTAGTCTCCTGGACATAGTTGATAATCCCAATTCTAGCATGAAATATGAAAGTTTGATAAGAGGTTGACAAGATAACAAAGTGTCTGAGAATTTTTCCCTTAACTGATACTGGCTACTTCATAGATTAACAGGATAACTAAGGAAGTGTTCAAAAATTCCTTCCTCAACCGATACTTACTGGCTACATCATACACGATGACTGCAACAGATGAATCTCTGATGTAACTTGGGATGAGACTACGGAATCTCTCCTGTCCAGCAGTATCCCTGGGTTCAACAAAGTCAAGGATGTGATATGCGAAAATGTGTATAAATCGAGCAAATGCCACATTGATTTAACATACAATAAAAGATCAAACAGCCCATCTTTATACTCAAAAAATAAACTTTGAAAACCATATTAATTAGAATTAACTATTGGCAGAAATGAAGAGACTCATAGAAAACAATCAGAAAAAAACGACATAATTAATTGCTACTGTGAAAATCATGAGCTCTGAAGGGACTGATTGAAATGAACTTAGGGGAGCAAAAAGATGTATCCAAGTACAACATTTTCTTGGCCTGCTAACACGATATGGGCATTTTACCTCCATTCCTTTAAGATTTAATTGGTTTCAGTATTAACAAGACTACACCTTTTTTTGCCCATCAGAATCAGTGTTGCCTGGTATTACCCATTTCAATTCAGACAAATTTGCATGTTAGGGATATGAAAATAGCAGGACTCAGGTGGCTGGTACTCTACCAAAGCTGCAATCGCACTGTCCGATCCTCAAGGTACATCGTCTTCGACAAAAAATCGATCCCGATGGTGGCCTGCAGGTCAGACAGCTTAAGAAGTGAGAGCCTATTCATGTCACAGAACGGGAATCCGGTCTCAAAAGAATCCTACTAGATGAAGTCCCCGTTTTCCCTTTCACATTTGTATGCGAAAGTTCATGACATCTGAATTTGATGATAGTAATACGTGAACACTTGTGCAGTTGGAAACTTTTTCTTCTTTTAGCAGAATAAAGCAACTTAGAGCCTCGAAAGCCTCAGTTGCAGAATTCCTCTCACATGGACGAAATATGCATCAAAGTTCAGTTCAAGGAAAAGCCATTAGCAAAGTCGAAGGGCCTTTTGCGTAACCCAATGACGGTGCAATAACGGGCCTCGAGATCCGAAAACGTACGGAGGAACGCCAACTCCGAACCCTCGACAATCACATACCACTTTCGTGCGTTCACAAAACGTCCAAAATCAAACGGTCACAAAGGTCCTAACACCAACAGAAGAATCCCACCACGTATATGTAAAACACATGCAACGTCCGTGGCGAGGGACAAGCCAAAATGATCGGTCCGTCGAAAACCAAGATGAGATCGCAGCATCCGGGACGGACCTGGTAAGTGGTGTCGAACTTGTCGTACATGAAGCGGGTGATGATGCTCGTCTTGCCGACCGACTGATCCCCGAGGAAGACGAGCTTGTACTTGGCCAGAGGGGACACGTTCGCCATCTTCTTCTTCTTCTCCTCCTCCTTCGTCTTCTCCTCCTCCTCCTAACCGCGTTTCAGATCTGAATCTACGTGAGCGAGAGAGAGAAGGAGAGAGGGGGAGAGAGAGAGGTGACGCGGTCGTTATTTGTGGCTTCCTTGTAAGTTCGGGAAGGAGGAGAAACCGCCATGCACGACGAAGAAGGCGGCCATATCACCATCGCCTTTACGCATGGTCAACGTCCTTGAAATTCTACATTTCTTTCTCTCTCTTTTTTTGGGACTATTATGCCCCTGTCTTCTCTCCCCCTTTGGCGATTATGCCCCTCCCTCGTCTCCCCTTAGTTTAGCACCGTTCCAGTTTTCCCTCCGAATCGCGCTTCTGTGCCACCCCCGGGCGGACCAGCCGGTCGCGGCGCCTGAGAAAAACGTATTCTACTTGTCGATCACGCGGTTAATGATAGTGCGTTTAAGTAAGCCATGTGATGTACATTTCGACCGGCTTTTGCATTCGGATTTCGAAACCCTACTCTTTTTAATTTCTGATTGCTCCAACAAAAAGGAAAATGCTCGCTCGCATCCATCGGTTTGATTCGATCCTCGAAGCCACCAAACGGATGATCCGATTTTTCCTGCGTGTTGCTACTTTCCTAATGCTATAATAAACAGACTCGGAAAACACATTTGAATTTTTCCTTCGAATTTGAAAAAAAAAAATAATAATTGAGAAGCCTGCACATTATTTGTATATGTCAGAGAGAATTGAACAATTCAGTTCAATGTTAAGAAAAAGTTAAATGATACGCATTTAAAGTAAAATGTTTAAGGTAAAATCTAAAAAAGAAAAGAAAAGAGAAACGTTTAACACCACCATGCAATCTAACCATTCGAGCTAAGACTATGACTGTTTCATCATATCGTGCATAGCATGCCGAATTCACTGGTTAAAAACCATAATGCGAAACCAAGCACTCATACAATCAATCATTTCCCAGAATCACTTCAGTTGACTTGCCGATGAGAATGAGGAGAATAAACCGCGCGCACCAGTTTTCACTCGTGTCTTTCTGTGTCGATACAAATTCAACTGCTATCGCCTCTAAAGGACGCGTTGCCTAAGCTTTCCCATGGGCAAAGTGGAAGAAAAATTTCAAAACAATCTGCTACCTGTAGAAAGCCTCCTGTGCAGCATTGAGGCTACTTCAGTCGGTCTCGGACATTTTGTTTATCGGATTGCTCTCACATTGCCACACATTTGGGGTATTTACCACATTCCCTGCATAAAAAATTAGATGGCTTGAAAATCGAAGATTGAAAAAGGGACGAAAGTATTAGATTCTGCTACTACCAAACGGTAGATGTAACACAGATAGCATGCGACATGCAATAATCAAGTGAGAACAATAAAGAACTATAAATGTGTTCAACACAATAGCTCTATCCTTCACTAAATCTCAAACTTTCTTCTGCCGTATGCACATTAAAGTACAATAAAAAATAGGTTGGTCAGGGAACTGCCTGAATGGCATAATATTGGTAACGCAGGAGAACAGGAACTAGATGTTAGCATCTTTGAGGGTAACGATCCCTCAACATCCCTCATACTTAGCACTCATAGCTAACATAAACAGTGGCAACAATAAAATAATAGCAATGACAGCAGCAAGAATAATATGACGAAATGTAGACCGTTTTGCGCTTTCTCACCCCCTCCCCCCACACACCCAAAACAAAAGGAGAAATTACGAACTTACCTTTTATCATACATCTTTTGTTAAGAGACTTTCACACCAGAAAATGCTCAAACTATCATCGAACCCCTAACTACTTTTCCACCGAGTGCCTGCCACTTTTGCTCGATGATGATGAAATACCTTGCTCAATACACTGCAAAGGGGAATTGAAATGAGCAGAGAGAAAATTTTAGGCCCTCAGAATGATCTTCTTTTGAAGCAAAAGTTACCAATAATAGTATCTCGCAAGTTCCCAAGCTCAACAATATTATAGAAGCACGAGTCTGAATATTTAGGAGCTGTTTGGTAACTGACCAAACAGTGTTGGATTCTATTCTTTTGTTCCCGGGAACAAAAAAAGAACAGAAATCCGTTTGATAAATTTTTTGTTCCCGGGAACAAATTTGTTCCCAGGAATAGTTTTGGAACAAAATTAAGAATAAAAAAAAAGTTGACTCTTGATTCCGGGAACAAAGGAAAGAATCAAGACAGAAACAAATTTTTCTTTTTCCTTTTTCTCCTCCCTTGGCATGTGGCTGGTCTTCGGCCTCTTCCAGCCCTCTTCCAGCCCTCGCCGACGAGGGCGAGGGCTGGACCCTCGAGGCCTAGGCAAGGGCCGCCCTCACCCTCACGGCTTACGGGGGCAGCCCTCGCCCAGGCCGCAACGCCCTCGCCGGCCCTAGCCTGTGGCTGGCCGCCGGCCATGGCTGGAGACCAGCCACAGGCCAAGGAAGAAGAATAAGAAAAAAAAGGAAAACAAGAGAAAGAAATAATAAAAAATTCAAAATATTTTGTGCAGTTAGCATTTCTGTTCTTTTTCTATTCTAGGAATAGAAATTTTTGGCAATTACCAAACACTTTCAAATACTCAGAAATTGTTCCCGAGAAAAAAAAAAAAAAAAAATCATTTCTGAGAAGAAATTATTTCTGGAAACAGAATGGTTACTAAACGCACCCTTATAGTTTCATTCATAGGCTGCAGATATAATCTACTAATTGTGACTTTTTCCAGAGTCAACTGCTTTCTTAGGAAGATGACATCACCAGCTATATCATTGCGTATATTAAGATAAGATTTCATTCCAAGTCTGCAAAAGAAATATAATTGTTGAAACCTTTTTCATATTCACTCAGCTTCTTCAAAAGAGAATATTGCAAACCGAACAAAACGTCCACCAACCACAGTCACTACAAAATCTTGTCTACTTTGTGCATCATGCACGTGAACATGCTACCAAGTGTATGCAATATGTCTGACCTCACTGTTCTACATGAGAAGGCAACTATGAAGAAAATACCTCAAGAAGATAATTATGAAGATGATCTAATGTTTGCGGGAAAGTTGTTGCAGATATATTGACAACCGGCAAACCCTGTGGCAGAACAAAATGAATTAAGGTGCAGAAAAATGCAAGAACAAATATAGAATAGCGGTTTCTCTAGCTTTTTCAAATATTTTAAGTTTGCATGTACACTTCCTCTATGTGACCTTTCTAACCAAGAGCACCAAGAACCATACCATCAAAAGAATTAACTCCTTGGTCTCTTTAAGTTTCGTGCTAAAGGATTAGCTTAGACAGCAAAAGAGTTTTATGCTTGATAGAGCCATGATTATAGGTCAAAACACATATAGGATAGGAATAAAGAGTAGAAAGCACCTACTTTTACTAACAGTAACTCATGAATCTGCAAACCTGTTTTTCAAACGAGCAAAGATAATCTTGAATAGTTTTTAAGTTGCCTATCAGCCTATCCTTGTCCTGCAAAGGACAGAAAAAACTGTCACATAGACAAAACATGAAGGTGCAAACATCCAGTAAGCAGTAACAAATGAAGTAAAGAACATTAGAACAAAGTTACAGAACAAAATGTTCATGATATGAAATTGACCATAACAACAGCAAACTAAAGAACAATAGATATCAGCATGCCTAAACCAGGGTGAAGGCCGATACTGCATCAACTAGATAATTGGATTGACTTAGGATTGGCAAATTAACACTCCATTTGTAGGCTATGGAAACGGAAGGTGTGTCATCATGGCAACAAGATAAACAGACATGAGACATTAGCAGGCCAAGAAAATGGCAACGAAGCATCAACTTGACAAACCATTCAATTAATTGATACTTCTCAAGTTAATCTTTTTTTCATTTCCCACCTTCAAGGTCGTCTAAATTTTTTTATCACCTTCACTACAATCAAACAGTAGGTACAGATGCTAGTTTGACATTCAAGAGAAACAAAAAGAGGGGAGAAACATGTCCAACGACTACAACTTAAAGGCCATTTCTGAAAGATGTACAGCATGTGAAATTCACGGAAAGAGGACTTAAATAATATGCCTGCAGTCTTCTCCTTTCACATCAAGAACAATTACAAGAAAATGTCAGTAATGAAAACGCAATTTTGCTTAATGTTAGCCATATTGACTTCATTGAAATGAGTCTAGTTTTCTTAATGTTATGGTTTATCCTACAAAAAAATTATCGATAGCCTTCATATTATATTTGTGCCTTGTTACTTGACATCCTCCAGAGTTTCTTTATCTGAGGATCTTCATTAGTACCAATCTTTTAGATCAAACAAAAATAACGTACAAAAAGGAAAGCTGCTTTTTATACTACAACACACCATACCATCCACAATTCATTGTAAATGGTTTCTCTCCCCTTAAATCTATATTTCCGTGCAGCAAGAAATAACTATATATAACATTATAAACTTGTATCGTGTATTAATTACACTGCATTAATGATAAACTGGTACTAATTGACTATAGTCTCAACAATTCATCTAATTTTTATTAGCCAATAAAACTATAATTATTGCATGAAAGTACACAAAAATCATAATAAAGAAATAATTTCTTTAAAACTTTACAATGTCAAAGACATGAAAGTTAGAAGGTCATCACTACAAAACCAATGCATAATACACAAAAAAAAAAAAAAAAAACTGTCATGCAAAACTATGAAGATGAATAACCATTAAGTTTATCACCTAAGTTTAACTACAAAAATTGGATATGAACCATGCATCACATGAGCATGATATAGTGGCCAGATACGATAGTTTCACTGTATGCACATGTTGTGGGTGTGCCACACTTCACAACAAAAATGACCCACACCACTCCTTGCTACCACTCATACCCAGTAGTACCTTCATCACCCAAAACTTAATTTGTCCCTATACAGAAATTCACATGGACGCAGCTGCCTGCTTTATCGATTTCTCTGCCTTCACTGAATGTTTCAGCAATCGCACAGACTCTTTGATGTAAAGCTAAGTGACATGTTAGCCTTACACATCACAAATAGATACCCGGACATTTCAACAGGATATCTTTTTTGTCCTAGAAACTCCTTTTCATTATGCTTACTAGCAAGATTGCATCTTCAAAGAACACCCAGATAGGTACTTTCATGTCCCACCATTACTCATCAGCTAGATGCATATTCATATTATACTTTTGTACAAACAAACATTTAAGAAGTCATTTGTCATACCTCAATAAGACATTTACCACTAAATGTCCGTGTTGAGATCCATTCCTCCAGTAATGCCTGCAGACAAACGAATCAGTATGACATATGTAAAAACTAGATGTTAAATAACATATCAAGATCACAGGTATTGTAAACTTCTACAACCAATAACTGATTTGGTATAGCCATCTTAGTAACTGATATACCAGAAGCTTGGGAGAACTAATGACCTGTAACCAAGTAAATTCTTTTGTGTATAAATACTTTTAAGAGGTACCAAGATAACAAACTATTCCATCAGCAGTATCTCCAGGGAAAGCGGTAAAAATGCTAACCCAGAACTTCAAATACTAGCAAGCATCTTCCTGTCAGCCCGCAATTGCTCAGTGGACACAAACCCTAAAATGGCTATAATTGACAGAAACAAACACAAGTTCTTCCCAGAAGAGAAGTCTCTTTTGATTCTTTTGAAATAGTCTTGACACTGGCAAAGGCTCAGGGAGCAGGGCAAAAAGATGTTCCAAATATTTGCCTTATGTTATAATACACCAAATCCCTTTAGTATTTTTACCATTCTGCCAACTTCTTGACATATAACACTTGGTCGAAGTTTCTTTGACTAATAAGAGGTTAGAGATTGGGAAAAAAATTATTTCAAACTGTTGCCTTCAGTCAATGCACAAATTCCGTTGATATATTAACCATTGTGGCATGTTCTTCATGTATGAAACATGAGTTGTCTCTGGGATACTAGCTTTCACTGCTTCTACGTTGCATGATGCTAAGAATATGGTAGATATACATTGTGGCTTCTTTCCAGTGAGCTAAAATTTTAAATAAAAAAAATCGCCTAACATGCATCAGAGCACACATAGGACTTCCAATCCTAGCAGCTGCTTAATTTTATTTTATCTATTTGAGTTTTATATTGTCTTCTCAATATGATTATGTCCAAAAATAGGGATTTATTTGTACGACTTGACTTACACGCGAGAGAGCTAAGCATATGCTATATGTCCATCCTCAGCCCGTTTCCCGACAACTTAAGCTTTCTGGAATACTGATCCTCTAATATGACTGATTGTATAAGCACTATAAGTTTATCTTTTACAAACAGGGGTAAGAATTTTATATGATCTTTAGGAAAATAAGAGTGAGAAGTAAATAAAGATTGTATCTCATAAAAAAAAGGCAGCATAGTAAATTAAAAGCACAAAAGAAAGGGAACAAAAGGACGTCAGAAACAGTGTTGCTAGTTCCAGAAAGACAAGTTAGATCAATGAGGATGAGACATCTGGTGTCCAAAAAGTGTTTTGCACTGATAACAAGCTGTAACTTTTACAGGCCAAAGCAAAACAGCAAGTAACAAACATAAACTGAACTGTATTCTGGCAACAATACTAGCAAACTGCTCGTAATATTAAATAAAAAGAGAATGAAACAGGCTGTCAAACCTTATGTTCAAATTCTGCCATCTTTAGAACTATAGGAACAATTATTGGTTCAGCACCAGACTTTTCTTTCCTTGTCACCATAGTTTTATTTTCCTCTGCATCTTTGACATTTTGACCTGGAATTGCAAAATTCAGAAGGCAAATAAGAAAAGTTTAACATGAATAGCAGTATCTTTTAATATAATAGATTTAGGCATATTGCCATCAACATGAATGAATGTCTCGATTATTCTATGGAATCAGTCTTTATCTTGTTGCACAAATTTAGAACGAGAGAATATGGAACCAAACGTCATGGAGGACTTCTTTCCACGATCCCATGAAAGGCGATATAATTTTAAATCGGCAGAGAGGATAGAGAAAATGAAAGCAGAGATGAAATGAAACATGGGTCTTACATTCAGTGACTTTTCCACCTAGGTGCATAGATTCCAGAGAAACTGACATTTTAGGCAATTGGTCAACATTAACCTCTTCAAAGTTCGCTTGCCCAAGAGAGCTATTGCTACTCTCATCATGACTACTACAGACACTTGAAGGATTATTTTCCATTTGAGTGGCAGTATAACCATCTGATGTAACAGGTAAGGGTTTTGCCTCTTTTCTCTTTGCTGGATCATCACCAGGCAATTTGTTCTCGTCGTCCATTAAATAAATGCTTGGGTCCAGATGTATTCCCTGATAGCAAACATTAAGCACCACTTACAGAATTTTAAATTGCACAAAATATAGTGGAGTGATGACAAGCTAAAACAGAGCTCAAGAGAAAAATATTAGAGAAGAAAAAAAAGGATTGGGGTATCACAACTTTCCATTACCAGTGGAGAAAGAAGGTGTACTAGAAGGTAGAATGTATTCCACTGAACAAACTTTAAGATTGGTTTTAGAGTGAAAGCTCCACTATTCTATCATTTTCTTTTTAAAGCTCACTATACTATCAAATTTTGAAAATAGCATTCAGAGAGTGTCCCATTTCTGTTCAATGTCTCATGACAACCAACAGAAATAATTCGCTTGCAGTTTTGCATTCAAATTAGAAGCTTCAATTCTTGACATGCTTGACATCTAATCTATAGCAATTCTCCTACGGTCTTGTAAGCAGCGGTATTGCACAAAAAGATTAAGTGACAATAAGAATTCCTTAAAGGAATGATAATACGTACATACCTCAATAATAATTGGCTTACCATCTTTCATTGCCTTCTTTAAATCGCCAGCAAGGCCTGGAGAATCGATTAATAGCACAGAAATTACGACCACTTGCTAAAATGGAACTGAAAGTAAACTTTGAGCAGAAAATAGCTATCGACATTCATGTAGAGTATAGTATGATAAATTGCTGGTAATGGCGAACAAAATTATAGAACTGTAGAAAAAGCTGAGAAAGGGATCAGAGAGATTACCTTTACGAACAATTCTGCATTCTCTACAAAATTCTGTAATCAGCTCCTCGGATGAACTATAGTCTCGTGCCCAAACAGGAGTGGATGCTAGTGGTGCACTAATAGTAAATTTTGCATGAGATTCTAGCTCATTGTGATATTTCACAACTGAAAGCATGCCAAACAAAAACAAAAGCATAGTGGTAGGCGAAAGCATACTCTGTTGAGGTTCTCAGAAGCTCATATACCATATCCGTCTGCATGTATGGAATTTCGAAATAGAAAGAAAATTATGAGACAAATTGTTTTCATAGAAAACTCCACGAAATTGAGGGGGAAAGTTATTACCTGTAAGACATTTGGCAAATTCAATCTCTGAGCAAGCTGTGTTGCAATGGTAGATTTACCAACACAGGCAGTCCCACACACTAGGATAACCAAAGGCACTCTTTGATGATGAAATCTGGAAAGAGGATTAATCCCAGGTTTAGAATGAACTCCATGACACCTCCTGACATTTTTCTTTGAGAAATTTACTCTTATTTTACAATTCCGTGGAGCAACATCTTCTTAAATAAGCTTGCTTTCACTATGAGGAAATATTTAACCAGAAACAACTCACAGAAAGAAGAAATAGGATATTTTAACCTTCAAAGTTCGTTATTGTCAATTATCAGAAGCTAAATACACATAAAACAAAATAAGAGAAAGAAAGTGAGAGGCACAAGGAAAATAATCATGTTGCCATTTACTTATATTTGACAAACTCTAAACAACAATGACATCACAAAGAAAGTCTCAGAACAACAGTTATATGGTTCTTGTGTACTCATTGAGATGCACTGCACATGTTGCAATACAGCATGCATTTCACACGCCATGAAAACTATATAGAAATTGGTCAAAGATATAGAGAGTTTTCTAGCCATGAATTCACCCTTCAATTCTCAACCACAAGTCATTGCATTTACTTTACAAAAACACTTAAAGAAAATGGCCCCCTTTTATTGTTCATATCATCTCAAGAACAAAGGACCAGGTCAATTGTACTCTTGCTACATGTTTTGGAAAGAAAAGGTTGGGCAGGAGATGACGCAGATTCTAGCAGAGCTTAGTTACCTAGTCATCATTTTGTAACGATTTATATACTCCTCTCCATAACCCCGCCGCTCCATCAGCTGCATAAAAAAGCAAAACGGAAGGAAACTAAGTAGAGTTCAAGAGTGATAGTAATCAAATTAAAGCTTAAAATTCCTTCAAATTAATTATTAAAATCGAGACATAAGACTCCTTAACATATGACTAGCAAACAGACCAAATATATATATATATATATATATATATATATATATGACTAGCGAACAGGTTCTATGTGGTATCAGCTCAGGTGGATCCATTAACATCTCTCTTTCATCAAGACAGAATATTTCGTGTACTTCTCATCTGCATATTAGGAATGTATGGCATGTGTTCGATCTAAATGTCAAATTTCCATTTAGATGTTTTCTTGAAAAAACCCTAACCAGGGAATACAGAGAAAAGGGATAAATTACCTTGAAGAGGTTAGCTTCCAAGTCAGACTGAGAGCTGCAAGACAGAACTCGAAATAAGAAGTGGCACAATTATGTTGTCGTGCAAGAGCAACCCTACCCAGAAAGAGAGAGAGAGACCTACACATCCAGAAGGCTGTTGTCTATGAGCAACTTCTTCAGTTCGAGGGCGATTTTGATGGCAACATGATTTGGAATCTGACCCAGATGCCGTAAAGATCATTTAATAATCTCCAGGCTTCAATATATTTCACTACTACTTCATCTAAAACATAGAAAATACAAGAATGGACCAATGCGAATGGGGATCAAAGATTGCAAAATGTTCTAAACACAAGGTGCCAACTGCTAACCAGACAAGCCACAATTAGAAGTATTCTTCATAAAATTGGCTCATCATCCCATTCTTTACCAGCACGAGCACGCAAATGCAGGGGAAATCAATTCATTAGCACGCTGAAATGCCTCTCAAGCATCATAACCAGAGCTCATATCAGAGGATTACTGTATCCAGTGGCTGCTACAGCCTAGGAAAGCTAAACATCCAAAGCACCGAAATGTGGAACTAGCAGCACGTCGAAGTCGGAAAAGTGAAGAAGAACCTTAGTGACGGTCAACATTCTGCTGAGGAGAAACCTCGAGAGAACGTAGTAATGATCGCAATTATCCCCTAACCACACCTTCACCTGCGAAGAAACATCACCGGAGCAGAGTGAGAATCCAGATTCCTCTTCCGAACCGAACTCGCACACGATCGCGTCGCGCCTTCCTCGGGACACCAACCTTGACGAAGTCGTACTTGGAGGAAGCGTTCCGAGTGGAGAACCTGACGGCGGGGAGGGAGGAATCGCCGCCGCCGCCGCCGCTGCCGCCGTCGGATCCCTGGCCGTCCCCGCCGTGCTCCTCCCCGCTCCCGCTCTGGCTGCTCCGATTCAGCGATTTCCACGCCGCCGCCGGCGACGGCGGCTTCGCCTTCTCCTTGTCCTTCTTCATCTCGCCGGCGGCCGCCGCCGCCGCGAGGTGACGGTGATCGAGGACGGACTTCTTCTCGGACATGCTGGTTTCCCCTCTGTCGATCGACGCGTGCTCGCCGTGAGCATTAGCGAGACGGAAGTGAAGAGGAGGAGAACGCTTTCACGATCTTCCAGAATAGCCCCCGCGGGGACAATTTATATTCGCGGCTTGATGGAGGACTAAAATGAAAAAAACTAGGGATAATGACACAAACAACCCCTGAACTTTGACTTAATGTGTAATTTGATCCCTGAACTTTTAATTTGTTCAATGTAGTCCCTAAATTTTAACCTAATATTCAATTTGATCCCTAAACTTTTAATTTGTTCAATGTGGTCCCTGAATTTTTAATATGTGTTCAATTTAGTCCCTGAACTATATGAAAATGTTCAATATAGTCCCTGCACTTGAATTAATGGAAGGACTACATTGAACATTTTCAAATAGTTCAGGGACTAAATTGAACACATATTAAAAGTTCAGGGACCACATTGAACAAATTAAAAGTTTAGGGACCAAATTGAACATTAGGTTAAAGTTCAGGGACTACATTGAACAAATTAAAAGTTCAGGGACCAAATTGCACATTAAGTCAAAGTTCAGGGACTGTCTGTGTCATTTTCCCAAAAAACTATTTGAAACTGTGTTAATTATAGAATTTTCCTAAACTTAGAAGAGCATTTCAATCTAGTCCCTGTGCTTCCAACTTCACGTGTATAATAAAGGACGTTCAACCGGCTTGAGAGATTTGTTCGAACGAACATACACGATTAGACATCAGATTCAATTATATGCGTGATTAGATTGTGTTGATGCTTCTGCACACCCCTGCCTTCGCTTTTTTTGGGACAGACATAATTCTCTATCGGTGTATAAGCTATGTGAACGGATGTCGTTAGCTAAATTTAATCGGGACAAAAAAAAGATTCCAAGTGAGTTCTATAGTGTGTTTGAGAGAGCGTTTCCAAATTCCTTTGGAAGCGCGGGTGCCAAATTCGAAATGTTTGGTAACACGACTTCCAAAAGCCTTCTAGCATTTAACAAGATTTTTTTCTTCCAACTTTGCCCTCGCGGATATTTCCGGTATTCCTCTCTTTCTCTCTTTTCATCGTCTCTCTCCAAATATTTGGAATTGAAATATGCGGAGGAACTCGGGGACGCCGGTCACAATCGAGCGACACCGACAGAGGCCTCGTGTGACGCCATGCTCCAGACGCGGCTTAACTCACTTTACCGAGGCCTCTGTTTTGGTTTTGGTTTTCCAATCTAGCTCGCCGTCTCGTGCTCGATTTTCGAGCCCTAATTGACAACGTTGAGCGAGATCTATTGAGCGCGGCCAACTTCGAGCCTCATCATCCTCGTCAACGGTGGCAGCAATGCGAAATACAGCTAAGGGTCCTCTGTTTTGGTTTTGTTATTCCAATCTAGCTCGCCGTCTCGTGCTCGATTTTCGAGCCCTAATTGACAGCGTTGAACGAGATCTATTGAGCGCGGCCAACTTCGAGCCTCATCATCCTCGTCAACGGTGGCAGCAATGCGAAATACAGCTAAGGGTGTGTTTGTTTTGAGGAAAATTTCCATGATTAAGGAAAATGATTTCCAGAAAATTTGTTTTTTTTTCCTTTATTTGGTGATATGTGACTAAAAACACTTTCTGGTGTTTGGATCACATTTGGAAAATGATTTTAATATCATCAATAACATTTGAACTAACAATTTGCACTAGTGTGCCTCACTTTCAAATTAATTTATTGAGTCAATGTTACTAAATAAACCGATTTTCTCTATCAATCTAGTAAATCTAGAATTTGAACCCCCAAAATGAAAACGAAACCCGAATTCCTACACGTGTTCTTCTAAATCCTCATCGGTCTCCATCGTCATCACCACTTGCCATCGCGCCCCATCGGATTGCAGGTGACTCTCTCTCTTCGAAAATTAAATTATGAGCTAAGGAAGAGCAAGTGTACCTTAGAAAAGGCGGGAGAGACTTGAGAAGACCAAAGGTGAGAGAGAACCCGATAAAAAGGGGAAAGTGTTTTCCCCTTCTCACGTCCAGGAATTCATTTTCCGAAAATTAAACATTATATTTGTGTTGACAGGAAAGTGTTTTCTATTGACTAAATCATTTTCGGAGAATCAAATAACCGAAAGTCCGGAAAACACTTTCACCAAAAACAAACACACCCTAAGATTGAAGCAAAGAAGAGGGGAAGAAAGATGACATACGCAGAGATGGAGAGATCGATTCACCGTGGGGTCGAGACTCAGAGCCAAGGGAAGAGAGGGCGATGGCGTGCTAGGCCGACGAAGCCGTTCGGGGCGAGGCTGTCCTTAGTGTATTTGGAATGTCACCGTGTCTTATTCTTCCAGCTCTGAGGAAGGGTAAAGACCCATATTCGGCTAGCAAAAGAGTTTTTCAATCGGATGCCATCTGAGTCCCAACTTTAAACTATCGTATCCTTCCAATTAAAGCTCGCAATTATTGACCTGCATATTCAAAAAAGGCAAGGGTAAAAATTGAAGTCCAAGACAACAATGCAATTATGGCAGTGTATCTAGGACATAAATGTAATTTTATTATTTACAAGAGGTACGTAATCTTGCTTAATAAATCAGGTCAAAGGAAGAGTGCACAAACGACAGGCCAAGTGTAGCCAAGAAATAGGGGCCTTTAAAGAAAATCTACCGAAAAAGTTGGGGGCAAATTGACATGAACTAGCAAATCTGGGGGGTCAAAATGGGCATTTCGGGATGAGCCCCGGAACGCAATCAAATTGTCTCCTCGTTCTTTGACAAGTTCAAGCTTCTCCCCTCTCCTCCGCTCGCACTGAGCAGCCAGCGGCAACGCCAAACCTCCGCCAACCTCAAGGTCTCCATCTCTCTCTCTCTCTCTCTCTCTCTCTTCTCGTTTCCGGGTTGCTTTCAGTAGGCGTGGTGGGTCAATCTAGGTGATGGGTCTTGACCCGTTTGACGAAATTCCTGAACCAGGTCGCCGGAGAATCTGTCCCGCGTTGTCTGGAGCGTTCAACCTGCTGCTCCGACGAGGATTCCGACGCCGGACAGAGAAAGACGGGCGGGGCGTGCGAGAAATGCTAGCCAGAAGGGTAGTTTCCGTCGCCAAGGATACCCCGAAATCGCTGTACTCCAGGTTCGGTGGTTCTTGATTTGTTTGTCAGTCGTTCAGGGTTCTGCTGCATAGATTGGCAGTTCGTGTTGTTTTTGATGCATTGGTTGGTTTAGTAGGTGATGGATTATAGCTGTTAAATTGGGTGGCTTAAATTTACTCGATGCCCGCGTTTTTCGCAGTTCTGCGCAGCCTTCGAATGAGGGCAAAAGCGGTTTCGCTCGAAAGGCCGTGTCGTTCGTGCTGATCACGGTGACGGGCGGTGTCGCTCTGAGCGCTCTCGACGATCTTGCTATCTATAATGCCTGTAGCAGGTAGTTTCTCATTGTTTCTTTAGAAATTTCTTGGGTTAAACTTCTTCATGTTAATGAGTAATGTGGAGGTGCCGGAGCAGGGGGAAATTTGATTATTTGAGTTAACATAGGTACATGGTTGTGATGTAGTAATTAGTGAAGATTGAGCCTGAAAGATATCCATTGGGTTGGGAGAACTCGGTTGCCTTTGGCTTTCATGTGCTTAACTTATAAAATCTCATGGCTAATGTGGCTCTACTTGAGAACTATATTTCCCACTATACTTTACATACCCAAAAGAGAATAAATTGGGAGCTTGTGCTTTAAAGATTTTCCCAGGTGGAGCGCAAATTTGTCAAGGCTTAATGCTTTTCAATTATTTTGCATTTTCACTCATGATCTCGACTCAAATCATTTGTTGCCATGCTTGGCATGAGTAGTTAATATACATAAGACCGAACATTTGATCCTATTAGCATATATATCTTGTATAGCTTCAGTGAGGAAATTTGATTGCGATATCTTTGCGTTGTAAGTGCACAAAGCAACTAAAAATACACTCCTGATTTACATGACCAGGTTCTATGATTGCCGAGGTATGTATTAACTGACACAACGTACGGTATAGCCTTTTTAGTAAAGTTGACGAAGCAGAATTAGAAAAAGCAGATCAACATATCGCTCTCTTGGAAAAACTCTTGAACTCTGAAAATTTTTGGCAAATCCAAAGAAGGTATTATGCAAAAATAATTAACAAATACTCATATTAACCTCGTCCTTCACTTTAAGGCCATTCCACCTGGTTACAAGTGAAGAGGGCTTTTCCATGATCTTTTTCTTTCTTTGTAGGTTTTAAAATTTGGGAACATGTGCAGTTCTATCCAAAAACAATTTAATGAGGAAGTCAAATCCTTGAAATCCCTAAAATAAATCCAGTCAAGTCTTATATTATCTCGATTGGTACATTGTGACCAGGGATTCTGTGCGACGCTTGAATACAAACACTTATTTCTCAACATCCAGCATGGCTAAAAGATCCATTTTCGGAAGAAATTAACGAGTCAAATGAATCTTGACCAATTTTCAAGTAACTGCAAACTACACGTATGAGTAATTTCATCAAGAATCATATATATGGTTGTCAAACTTCACTTGGGAGCCAAAAATTGAGTCTCTGAGAATACTTGCAAGAAACGCAATTCCTAAACATAGAAGTGCAAACCCTGTTGACAAGATTGACACTAGGAGTTTTATAATTCAAAATTCGAAAGTGTCCTTTAAATCTCAGCAAGATAAAACAAAGGTTGTCATACTTTTCTCATATATGATTGGCTAGTCACAGGGATCATGTTTTTGCCAATTTGGCTTTCTATTTTTCAGTTACAAGCTTATTATACCTCAAGCTACTCAAGTTCATTTAAGATCGATACTCTATGCTGCTAGGCAGTAATTATATTTTGTTAGTATTCTTTTCCTTATCTGTCATTAAATTGCTTGTTCTTTTGTTTCTTGCTACTTATTGGTAAAGTAGTGTAAATGACCATTAGTCATCACTTTGTTTGTTTCTCATCGAGATTTTTCTAACACTTCCTTGGTCTTTGCCTCAATTTCATTTAGTAAGGCCCTGGATAAAGCAAGTAAGAACAAGGCAATCGTAGATGCCCTTGGGGAACCGATTAAGAAGGGTCCCTGGTACAATGCATCTCTAGCAGTTGCTCACCAGAGGCATTCTGTTTCTTGCACATTTCCTGTATCCGGTCCACAAGGCAATGGAATCTTCCAATTGAAAGCAGTCAGAAATGGAGGTGTGTATGTTCTATTGAACTAATGAACTCTCATCGTCTTCCTGTCTAGGTGCTGTTGCATTATCTCTGATGAGAAAAGAGGTGCCATTACTTTTCCTGAGATGTGATTGCTAGATTAATCTTTTTACTATCCTTCCTAATCAAGGCCTTTTCAATTTTTAGACCTGGATATGGTTTAGGCACATCATAATAACTGAAAGCGTATAAATGTGGTTCTGCAATAGCAGCTGCGCTTCCAAATTACATCGCTTATGAAAGTTCGAATTGAATGAGTGTGTGTTGCAGTGTTGTTCTTTTAACATTTTGCTATATCCTATCCGTAAGCTGTATACCAAAATTGATTGCCTTAACTGGAAAATTGCAGAAGACACGTGGTTGTCCTTTCTGCGTCCTCGGGATTGGGAAATTTTAGCCATGGAGGCACTCCTCCATGTTCCTGAAAATGAAGAGAAGCAGCGGACTTTTCGTATAAGTCTGTCGGGTGATTTTCGTCCTCCGGGTTGTGAGGCATGCACGAGCTGCTCATCCTCAGAACAGAAGCATGGAGAAACGCAAAAGTCATCTGCTAGCGCTTGAGATTGTCGGTTTTGTATGCGTCCCTTCATAACTCTTTGGGAGGCTTTTGTTTTGCAAATCGCGATGGATCGATTTGTGTTACATAATTCATTTTGGCAACTCTGAGATTTGATGCAATAATTTTGGCTGAAGCGATCAGATCGTGACTGCAAGTTTCTCTGCAACTCAATATAGGCTCATTTACTTTTTTCTTTCGTTTGTTTAATGTATGTGCATGAGGCAAGTCAAATCCCGACTTACATATTCAGAAGATATACTGAACAATCAGAATAAGCAAAAGGGAAACTCACAAATTGTAAAGTTTCGAGTGATTTAGCTCTTTGGTAACATTGAAGAACTCCAGCACACGTAACCACCGATCCCATCTCTTGAGCCTATGAACTGCCACTGTGTCTGGAACAAGCTCGTGAGAGCACCTTCCATTGGTTCCTGGATAGTCATACATTGCTGGTTTGCTTGTGAACCTGTTCCTTGCCTTTTTCCCCTTGTTCAGCCACCTTCCTACCAACTTGTCCTCCGGTCCAAATGTATCGTGTTTAGGAATTTCCGAACTAGCAATCCATTCAACAAGATCCCAGGATAATGCAAACCCCATCCCGGACATGTACCCCTCGTGCGGATTCATGCTCGGGCAAGGGAGCACGAACCCGTAGTACAAATCCTGTCTTGGCAGAGGCTGAAGCGATGACACCAGCTGAGCCAGCCGAATGTAGACGTCGTCGTCGGCTTTCATGACGTAGTCAAATCGCCTCGGAAGGATGTCGGGGAGCGAGGAGAAGTATGTGTAGGTCTTACCAAAGTTCATGTTCTCGGTGCAGTTGAGGATGATTATGTCGTTGAACCTCAGGATTTCAAGCGCCAAGAAAATCTTCTGCTCGGGATTGGTCACGCTGCAGAACACAAACTTGACTTGTACTTCGGCTACAGGAGACGATTGGATGCCGTACACTAGCCGAAGGAAATGGCGGCGGTCGTAATTGTTCGGCCTTGTCAGAACCCCGATGAGGAGGCTGAACCGGGTGCCGCTTGTAGCCAGCGCTTCATCGACCTTAAAGGCGTTCTCGGGCGAAGCTGTAAACAGGAACCTGATCGGGGCATTGAGCAGAACGAGGAAGATCACGAAGACGGCGAGGATGACGGAGGAGTTCAGCATGACCAGGAAGATGCTCCTTTGCTTCATTAGGTCCCAGCCGATCATTTGGGTGTAACAATCCACAAGGGAAACGAACGAGTCCTACAAGAACAGGTTCAGAAGAGGTGCTAATAATGTGATGGTATATATGAGATACCCTTCACGTTGTGCTCATTTCTGCTCAAGTTTCCATGCTTGCTTCTGCATGTGAACGAAGAGCCTGCAATTACTGCTTTGCTCATTGTATGTCGTTCCTAAGTAGCATGCTCGGCGTGATACTCCAGCAAGAAGGGCCTTTCTATCAAACCCAAAGGAGCAGTCAGTTTTAATCAGAAGTTGCTAGACATCTATGAGTGGATGGGATACTTAGGGTTACGTTTGGTTCGGTTTTTTGGAAAAGTTTTTGGGAAAATGCAAGGGCTAAAAAGGTTTTTCAAAATGTAAGTAGTGCATGATAAATTATAATTTTAAAGTGTACTGGGAGTTTAAATGTCATTTGGTAAAACACTTTTGCTTTTATTGAAAAAAGAAACTCCAAACCGGAAAGCCTTTAGCAAGACTCTAGCGAGGCCAAATTTAGCTACCGGCAAGCCAAATCTAGTGCTGGCAGACTCGCCTAGGTCGCGTGACATTTCACTTTACTTTTATAATTGTCACATGACAAGACACGTTACATAGTTTTGTCACATGAACCATAATCAAATAATAATAAGTGTTGGTTCATTTGATTTATCATCCCTAATCTTTTGTTGTTATTGAGTATAGATTTGTAAAAACTAAGGATAAAAAAGAATTCATCTCACATATGTATTTTTCAACACTTACCTCATTTCGGCTTTAGCACTTCATTAATGACTAAATTTTGGAAAATTTAAGTGTGAAATGCATATTTTATTCGTTTAATTTCTATTTACTCTCCCATGCGACGCTTCGCCTCAGATGCACGATTGCCATGCAACACTTCGCGCCAATACGACCAAATTAAATAACGATAAAATTGTGCTATAAACCTTTTCTAAACAAGGAATAATGAAATTTGTTCGGGTGTCATTTTTCAGGTGTATAATTAATCCGACGTCCAAAAAGAAGAAAAAGATAAGGAGGCAGAGAACTTACATATGCATGCATAGTGGAAATGACACAGATGATCAGAGAACTCTAGCTCAATACGTAATATCGTTTCCAAAATTTTAATTTATTCAATATGGTCTCTAGACTTTCGGTGCATGTATAATCTATCTCTCGAGCCGTATAAAAATATTTTCGACATCGCCCTTCCATCAATTCAAGTTAGAGGATGATATTGAATATTTTCATATAGTTCAGGGATCGGATTGAACATGTGCCAGAAGTTCAGGGGCCATATTGAACAAATTAAAAGTTCGGGGACGTCATTGCTCACTAGGATAAAATTCAGGGAACACATCGAACAAATCAAAAGTTGAGGGATGATGTTGTACACTGAGCCAAAGTTCAAGAGCTATTTGTGCGATTACCCTTACATACATACATACATACATAATTTTCCAGAAATTCTTGATATCTTCTTCTTTTTTTGCAATTTTATCCCGGACAAACCCACGTTTCTTTGCCAACAATCCACCCTCCGAAGAAACGGAATTATAATCTCCCCTCCCTGCCCTTCCCCCTCCCCCTCCCCCTCGCACTTTCACTTCCCGTTTGTTGCTTGCGAAGCCCTGTTCCGCTGCAAATCTCGTCGTGATCTCAGGCAACCAGCCGTCGCCGTCGCCGTCGCCGAGCTTCGCAAGCAGTAACTCTCTCTCTCTCTGTCTAGGGTTTGGCGACCTCATAGGGGATGCAGGATCGAGGGCTAGTCCGTACCCCGCTTGCTTGATTTCGATCTCAAGAGTCTGTAGTGGAGGGTTTCGCGAACTCTGTAGTGTTCAGGGTGGTGCGACGAGGGTGGGGGATTATTGGGGGCTTGGCCGCGGCGCGGCTGCTGCGACTATCTTGCTGCTGTTGATTATGCTTGAATTGCGGAAGGAAGGTGTAGATTAGCGGGTTTGTGGGTTCGGTGCCGTAGATTCTTGGACTTTCGGGGCTTAATTTTGGGGCTATTGTGCTCGGGGGATTCGGTTTTTAGGTTGTCAAGTTCAAACCTTTGAACTTTCTTGCCGTGAAAAATTTTGAGTTTGTGGAGCATGCTTGGGTCTTTTGGTGATTTTTGGTTGGGCGCAGATTTTTAAGTTTCATGTCTGAGTTGGCGCTCGCGCGATATGGGCTAACTTCTATCCGTTGAAGCCGAATGACACTGACATGTTAATATTGATTGTACATGGCGATTTTAGACAATTTCAAGTACTCTTTGGAAGCAATTTTGAATTTTGACTGTGTGTTTTTACCCTCAGTTGCTTTTAGCATTTGTCGCCTGGATTAGTTGGTGAGGTTTGAGGTAGAATGGGCATATGGCCATGCTGCGATAGTTCCTGCTAGCATTTTTTTGATCGGCTCTTAGTCTCTTTCTGTGGCTGAAAATGCTTGAGAAGTCTTTCTCCTTAATCTGTGATGACATCGAGATACATCATCTTCTTTTGAACAAGGTCTCCTTGTGGTGTGACGAGACTTGAATTTGATGAACCATTTCAGCTGCCTGGTTTAGCTAATTCTCGTTTCGTGACTTAGGTTGAGCTTGGTTTTGTTTGTTTAACATGTTTGTGAGGTACTTTGGATCTTGCTTTCTCTATATCATCCTTGCAATATCGTATTTCTTTCATTTACAATGAAATTGTGCCCTAGCGGGAACTTTGACAATGAAAAGCTCCAAAAAGTAATACCGATCCTCCTAAGTACATCCTTCTGATATAAAAGTTTGTTTGTAGGCTTGATATCTTCTCTAGAAAAACATTGGGGATGAAACACATCTCTGTCACACGTGCCTTTTGTTTCACTTGATTGACTACGTGACTAACACTAGTTGGGTGCGATGGTTTTTATCTCCATTTGTACTTGCTATGAAGTGATACATACTTAGGGTTGGAATTACATAATCATTTATGCACCCTTGATCTGAAAATGTAGGATTCTATACAATATACTTTGAAATTGCTTCTTCTTCCATCCACTTTGATGTGATAACTATACGCCTTGGGGTTAGTTGCCTTGTTTTTTCTTTTGAAAGTTTTAAATCGCTTTAAGTTACATTAGATTTGGAAATTTGAAATGGAATAACGGATACTCGAAGTGAGATTTTCCATACTAGGGACTTCGTCTTCACATATGGCCTGCTTGTGACCATAGTGTAGTTATCATCGCGCTTGACGTCTGTTAGGGTAACAATTGGTAGTTTGCTCTCCAATAGACATTTGGTGGAGTCTTCTTGGAGGTTCATTGTGCCCTTCACTCTTCCAAATGTTCATATGCCACAGTTTCAAGGGGATGACAAGAGACGCTGAAGAACATTTTTGTCCATACTTTGCCCAAAACAAACCTTTTCATCTCTTTATTTGAGTTCATAATCGTCTTCTCTAATTTAGTTTTTCTCCCTGTATTTTGCAGTTACCAAAGATGTCTCGGAGATATGACAGCCGCACGACAATCTTCTCCCCTGAAGGTCGCCTCTACCAAGTTGAGTATGCAATGGAGGCCATTGGCAATGCTGGGAGTGCAATAGGGATACTAGCTAAGGATGGGGTTGTCTTGGTTGGTGAAAAGAAGGTTACTTCCAAGCTTTTGCAAACCTCAACTTCAACGGAGAAGATGTACAAGATCGACGATCATGTTGCATGCGCCGTTGCTGGAATTATGTCTGATGCCAACATTTTAATCAACACTGCTAGAGTCCAAGCTCAACGGTACACATATGCATACCAGGAGCCAATGCCTGTGGAACAACTAGTCCAATCACTCTGCGATACTAAGCAAGGCTATACACAATTTGGTGGGCTTCGCCCATTTGGTGTTTCTTTTCTGTTCGCAGGATGGGACAAGAACTATGGTTTCCAGCTTTACATGAGTGATCCAAGCGGAAACTATGGTGGCTGGAAAGCTGCGGCAATCGGTGCCAATAACCAAGCTGCACAGTCTATCCTGAAACAAGATTACAAGGATGAGATCAACCGAGAGGAGGCAATCCAGCTTGCCCTGAAGGTGCTGAGTAAAACTATGGACAGCACTAGCCTTACTTCCGATAAGCTTGAGCTGGCCGAAGTGTTCCTAATGCCTTCTGGGAATGTGAAGTACCAAGTCTGTTCGCCTGAGTCTCTGAACAAGCTCTTGGCGAAATTCGGGGTGGCGCAGCCTTCTACGGAGGCGTAAAAAGCTCTATCAAGGACTATTTCGGGTCTTATTTATACTTTGGGGCTGTTTGAGGTGGTTCTCTGGTACCTTTGTTGAATTTAGACTTGCAACGACTGTTTCGTGATATTGTCCTTATGGCTCTCTCAATTAGCACTCTCAGCTCTCGATCCAGTTTACATTATTGTTGGCATTTTGTCATGGTTTTCCCTACTTTCTCTTTCCTTTTTCTATTGTGGTGTGTTCGTGCTTGCTTTGCTTGCAGTGGCACCTTCACTTCCATATGACTTGAACCTGTGCCATTTGGACTTTTATGAGGAGCTATTTCATTTATGCACAATGTTGAATCTGTGTCATGTCAATTTTAATGAGAGCTATTACATGAATGCACAATGTAATTCTTTGTTTTCTTGGTCGAAAAATGCACAATGTAATTCTTTTGAGGGGCTGCTTATTTTTCATTTTTTTTTCTTTGAAAAATTACAATATTGTGCAAACTTTATAAAGTCAAGAAACATTACAAATGCAAATTAATTAATCAATATTTATGTGTTTAGAAAACTTTTAGGTATATCATATTAATACATGTAAATTTACTTAAGCCGCAAAACTCGAGAAAAGACAATGTTCTAACAGTAAAGATCGATCCGACCAGATCTTTCTGAAAAAATATTCATTGAAAATGTCTTTCGTGTATTGCCAAAAAAAAAAAAAATCTCAATAATCAGCTCACGTCGCTATAGGTACTCCCTCTTTTATCAATCGCTAAATTAATAGTGGATGAAGGCTTTTGTAAAGACTTTTTCTTTCGGTGTCGACGTTCAATCTATATGAGTATATTGGGGTGAATTCCTTCAAAAACCCCAACTTTAAGCCAAGTGCAAAATCTGTTATGAATCTTTTTTTGTCTCAGAAAAAATCACAAATTTTAGGTCCAGTTCCAAATTTGCCTCGAACTTTTTTTGTCTTAGAAAAAATCCAAAACTTTAAGTTCAGTTCCAAATTTGCCCCGAATTTTGTTTTGTGTAAAACAAATCAGCAAATTTCCATTTATTTTCAAAAATATACCCCACGTGATCCAGTCCCAACTTAATGTGGCACTTCCACGTCGATAACAAATCCACATCAGTAAAGTAATGGGGCGATAGGTACAAACTGACATCACATTTTCACTTCGATAACAAATCCAACTCAATAAAATTGTTGAAATTCTTGAAAATAAAACCATTCTAGGACATGAAAGTTAGGGACGATAACAAATCCACCTCATTTTAAAAAAACTTAATTTTTAGGTTTAGTCCAAATTTGCTCCGAACTTTTCTTTGTCTAAAAAAAAGCTCCATTACTTTGTTGATGTGGATTTGTTATTTTCATGGAAGTGCCGCGTCAAGTTGAGACTAGATCACGAGGTTATATTTTTGAAAATAAATTGAATTTTGGTGATTTTCTTTTACACAAAACAAATTTCAGGACTAAACTTAAAGTTTGGGATTTTTTTTTAGACAAAAAAAAGTTCGGGGCAGATTTGAGACTGGAACTAAAGTTTGGGGTTTTTTCTGATACAAAAAAAAGTTCGGGGCAAATTTGGGACTTGACCTAAAGTTTGAGTTTTTTAGGGAATTAGGCCGAATATATTGTAACATAATATTTTGTTAGTCTAAGTGGGGATAAGTGTCAGAAAAGTTATAAACCTATTGGTGCCAATTTAGCTCTAAACCTTTTGATCTAGTGCCAATTCAGTCATTTTGTCTAATTTTGGTTGGATATTGCTGAAGTGAATGCCGGCCTACGTGGTACCGCCAACGCTGATGTTGATAGTTTTTAATAATTTTTTCAATATTTTAATTAATTTTTCTAATTTTTTTTTCCTTTCTTCTTCCTTTTGTCGATGGCCAGCCATCCTTGTGGCAAGGGTCGCCATTGCCTGCCACAGGTGAGGCCCAGCAGACCCTCGCTTGGGCGAGAGCAAGCCCCGGCGAGGCTGCCCTGGCCTCGGCGATGGTCGATCTCGCTAGATCTGGCTTGGGCGAGAGACGGCCTTGCCGGATCTGGCAAGGGGAGCACTCGCTAGGGCTCACCCTAGCCCAGGCAAGGGTCGACCGGGCTTTGCCTGTGGTCAACACCAACCCTCACCTAGGTGAGGTTAGCCCACCCGGCCATGGCTAGTGGCTAGTCACCGGCAAAATGTAGAAGAAAGGAAAAAGAAAAAAAAGAAAAAAGAAAAAAATCAGAAAAAATATTAAAATATTATTAAAAATTGTTTACGTCAGCACCGGCGGTACCACGTAGGCCGGCCGGCCTCCACGTTAGCAATATCTAGCTAAAATTAGTCAGAAGGACTAAATTGGTACTAGGTCAAAAGATTTAGGATTAAATTGACACAATTAAAATGTTTAAGACTAAATTGACATAGGTTTAGGATTTTTTTGACACTTTTCCCTCTCTAAGTATGTCATCTCAAATTGTACATTGTTAGAATTGGACTCTCCTCATTGTATGAAAAAATCTTGGTGCTTTCTCAACGAAAGTAGCAAGACATATGTCGACTAGTTTATTATACCTCCTCCTCTGGCCTCATTATTTTATTATCTAATTATAACTCATTTGTGTTAAAAAAATATTTTTTGTTTTAGCATATAATTTGAAGTTTTTCCTGGTATTGGTTAGTTGATAAAAGTTTCCATTGTTAATATGCATTTTAGAGATACTATAATATTTACGAAATATTTTATATTATGTTTGTATATTTTTACTTTTATACTAGTTAATTGTTGTTTGCACTTTGATAATTTGAAGTTTTTGGCCGACAATGTGATAATTTAGTCTTATATGTGCCTTCTATAACTAACGAAACGTTAAAAAATTATTACATTTATGCTTAAATGTTTCATGCTCCATTTTGATTTTATTTTTCTATAACAAGTCGCGCAATGCGCCGGTGAACATCTAGTGTTTCTCTTACAAAAGTCCCTTATTTATTTGATTTCAACCACTGAGATAAGAAAAAAAGATCGAAAGAGAGAATTGTGTAATTTCTATATATTTCTATTTATTATGATAAGAGTATGTTAGACTTTATTACATGACTATCTCATTATTATTTATCGCCGGACCATTATTATCTCATACCTTATTGATCAATTGATCATCATTATCTCATTATAGTCCCTCCAAGCTCTTATCTGGACCCCTTAATCGGCCATCAAAGCTCATCACAACCGTCCATCTCTTATTCAATAATTGATTCCCCCGCTCCTCAATTATAATCAATTATGCTGCATTTGATCGTCCGGATTTGGATTAGGAAATGATAGGATAAGGTGGAATCGAAAATCCTCCAAAATATCCTTCGGATTGTAAAAAATCATATCTCATGTTTGGTGCAATCCAAGCTAAGATTCAAAATCTTGGAAAATCAGTGCAACCTTCTCCGGCTCCGTCTCTGTTTTCCTCTCTCCGATCGGTCTCTCTCTCTCGTTCTCAACGGCGATTTCCGTCCAACTAGTAAAGATATCAACTTTTTTTCTATTTCTTTCCAAAAATTTTGAAGCTTCGACTGAATTCAGTTAATTGTATGCTGCCAGTTTGTTTCCTTTCTGTTCGTCGAAATCTGAATCATGCCCAGTACTGTGCATCGCGTGCTTAAATTCTCTCCGTTTCATGATCAGAAGGAACACCTTAGATGTCCCAACGCTTGAATAATTTGCGAAGCTTAAGACATTACAGAATACAGAGGACTGTGTTAATGGTCGGTTTGCGCAATTGGATCAAACACATCTTTGTTCATTTACTCACAGTGATGCATATGGGGGTTTCTCGTTGCTTCCCGTGGCTTTCGCGCGTGTCCAATGGCAAGGAGCCGGATGGCTTTGGAACCTTACCGGATGATGTCGTGGTGGATGTGCTCGGCAGACTGGAAGTCGACCAGCTCGGCCATGCAAAAAGAGTATGCAGAAGGCGGCGTGCTTTGATCGGGACGGCTCAGTTCACCCGAGTGCATCTACAAAGAGCTTCTTCGGTAACTGTCATGTACTCCTTGTTCTTCTTGCGCCTGCGTTGTGACAAGGTCAGTTTGTTCTTTCTCGACTGGGGGCTCCGTGAAGAAGAAACCGATCGGAGGAGCAAAGTTACCGGCTTTGCGACGCATAGCCATCCTTGACAGAGTATGTCGTCTTCTAGGTTGTTGTGACGGACTGCTTATCTTCATCGCGACTTGCACCACATCTATGTATGAGATTCTCAACCCCGTCATGCAGGAGCGAATCGTGTTGCAGCAAGAAGGCTCGATCTGCGGTTTCTTTCTCCATTCGCTTTTGAACAAATATCGGCTGCTTTCTTACATAGAAACTCCCAATGGCTTCTTGTATCATGGGGGCGGTCTAGGGCCAGCAGCGTGGAAAGATGTCGGGATATTTCCTTATCGTCCTAGAGAACGAGAAGCCCTGTCTGGCGTAAAGGGTCGTATTCACTGGTTGGTGGTTGGGAAGGAAGGTATGTCGCCCCGTGTTCGCATTCCATCATGGTCTTTAGCACCGGAGAGAGCAAACTTCGTTTTATGCCTCATCCGGGAGATTCATGTCTACGGGGTGAGGGACATTCGAACATGCACTTGGTGGAAATGAAGGGCCGGGTATACGTGTATGCGATTCATACTAAACTCATGAGCATCTGGGTTTTGGAGGACTATGCGAGTTGGCAGTGGGTAAAGAAGTGCAATATTGATCTCGAATGGGACTTAAAGTGGCATCCGGTCCGCGATGAGTACATAACAAGCTACTCAAGCTACTCAAACTACAAGAATATGCAGCTTATAGATATCCGAGATGGGGAGTTGCTCCTGTTTTGGCCTGGCAGGGTATTCTTTCGGCATAATCTGCAGTCGGCAAACATCAAAAAAGTTGAGTGGAACTTTTTCAAGTATGGTCTCGACTCTAACACGAGCAGAATGATGATCAGGGCCGTCGTCGCCGGGTTTAAAAGGAGCCTCGTATCCTTGAAAGATCTTCAGTCAAATTAGTTTGATCTTTAAGGTAGTAAAGTTTGCGATGAAGCTGACTTGTTTACGAGGGAGAGAGATGACAGTCTTCATTCGCAGAACCAGAGTGGTTTACTCCGTTAGGACTTTGGAATGATTTCTGCTCGTTTTGACTTTTGAGTTTTGATAATCCTTGTGGATCCTACGCTCTGACTTTA